ACACGACAGGATGCTTTGAAGAGGCAAATCACGGAAATGCAGGGAATGGACAATTATTTTATTGGATGTGGAGGTCGTTCACTCCGTGTGGACTCTCAAGAGCTTAAATTTCATTCCCATCGTAGTTAAGTAATGACGATTGGAATACTCCGGAGTATGGTCATAAGAAGCCTATGATTGACTGATTTTGGATTCTGCGAAGAGGAACTGTAAAAAACTAACTCAGATGTGGCTCGGAAACGGATATTCAGAAGAAGCAATGCAACACAACCTACGGATGGTGATGAGCAGATGAAAGGACGAAGATTATGAAAGGAAAGCAAGAGTAACAGAGGAAAAGTGATGGATATATCTACTCTTCTGCGAATCGGCTCAGAAGCTGTCTTTGACACTATGGAAATGGAACATTCGTACACTCCTAAAAGAAGGAACAACCCTCTTCACCAGCTTGCCCACACAACATGAAGAAGTCAATAAAATGGAGTGCTCCGGAGTTTACCGAATCAACTGCAAGGACTATGAGCAAAAATACATCAGAGAGGCTGGAAGGACAATCAAGGATCAAAGAACACCAGCGACTATGCAGAAAAATGGACACGGAAAGATCGGAGATAGCTGAATACATCGCTCTTACCGACCACACAATTGATTGGAATGCAACGGAAATACTGGCCTCGGGTGAGGAGAACACCAGGAAACTGAAGATCAGAGAGGCTGTGGACATCTTCTCTCAAAGAAACCTGATGAACAGGAGATTGGAAGAGGGAAGAGTCAGCAATAGGTCTTATCAATACCCCCAGCGGGAGTCGAACCGTGGCAGTGAAGCCTGTGCGCTCGACACTTTAATCACTACTCTACTCATATCCGTGTGGGAAAAAAATCAACTATCAGTCCTTCATCACCTTAAAAGAAATAGAGTGAATAAAATTCATATATATAGTTTATAAGTAGTCTCGAAAACCTACTCATTTACGAAAACTATATACAGCATTTATGGATGACGTGGTCAATTTTCTTGACTCGTTTGGTTGAAAATGGTTTTAAAGGTAATACCATCTGCTCTGGTGAGGTCCTTCGTACGACGGACGAACGCTTAGCTCAGAATTGTCGCCTAACGAGTATTCTAACCTTTCAGCAGTCACAACTCCTACTCTGGTTACTGATGTGGTCAATTCACCAATCACGAGTTCAGTTTATCACCATGACAACATGAAAGGATTACAATGAATGTTTCGTTGGGTCTTGTCTACACGATTGCGTTTAGATCTTATTTTCAAATGTGACTATCATTAATTATTGAATAACAAAGTCTACTGGAAATAAGTAGCCTCATTGATTTCATTGACAAATACATGTTTGTTGAGCTTACTGCTACTTCGAGGGAAATATTTAATGAAGAGATTCGAAGCTCGATCCTATTAGAAGACAATGGCGGCTTCTTCTTAATCAGCCGGTGATTGAATTTACTGGAATATTCTTGTTGATGCTGTTTCTGAGACAATCTCCTTCGATTCCAGAGAAAATGTGCTAAGCTTTCGTCCGTTGTATGCCGGACCTCGTCAGAGCAGATGGTACCATCCCTACGACCACTGCTTCAACCCTTAATGCTGTATATATTTTCTTTAACTAAGCTCTTTGATGAAGTACAAAGTGATGTCAATGTCAACCGTGATGAATGTGAATGCGTTGTCTGCGTGTGCATGTACTTGAATGCGTTCGTATATATACGAAACCAGCAGTGACGGCCCAAATGAATTAAAACCTAAAAAGTGACGTCTCTTTTTGGCCTTCATGGTTCGATGACCCGTACACCCCCTATCTCTTTCTATATATGCATTTTTTTCTTTTTAATCATTATTCCGATTGCGAGTTGCGAGCGAAGACATTGAAGGATGTCTGCATCAACCAGAACGTCGTATTAAGGCCAATCGGCTGCAATATAACGCGAATCAGCCGACGTCTTCTGGTGAGATTGACCTACGAATGTATTCATCATGTATTTCCATACCAAATAAAAGTCCTCACATCAAGAACCTTCCAGTAGAGCCAATCGACAGCTGGCCAGGAGGAACGAGTCGTATTCTTCTGGCGCGATTTACCTTCGAATCTCTTCACCAAACACTTTCACTCGAAAGGGAAGTAACCTTAACACACACGAAACAAGCGAGTCCTCGCAAATACATGTTTGCCTAATCGACACTGCCAGTGTAAAATGTGATTTGCGTGAGGCCTGTTCTGTCATGGACGTCACAGTTGCTCCGTAATCCCCTGGCACCGGATTTCAATTCCATTGGGGTGGGGGTGATGATGCTGCTGACGACGATGATGATGAGGTTAAGACAAGGTTGATACTGTAGTCCAGTTTAGCCCAGTCTGGATGAGAGGACCATTTTTGTGAGGCAAGGGCTGGTGTTAAATTCAACGATATCCTCAGCTCTTTTCATCCAATTACGTAGGAAATCTTAGCTATTAATTATCATTTCATCTTAACTGATCTAGGCTAAGTTGTTATATAAGATGTATTCACCCTATTTCGTTTAAGTTGATAAGCGGACTGGTAGTTGAATTTTCCCACAATCATATGAGTGACAGAGATTAAGTTTTGTGAAAGCCAGGCTATGTGTAATTAAATGGAAACGTCATGTCTACTCATATCCTTGTTAGAAAATTCAACTACCAGTCCTTTTATCACCCTAAACGAAATTGGATGAATACATCAAGATTTATAACTTATTCGCTTACTAGTACATCCAGAAATTACAATTTATTTTCCTATTCTAACTCCATAGAAAGCTTAATTTTGGCATCAATTCCATTCATTAGCTTAAGGAATGCACCCGAAATATCTTTGCCGTTTTTTCGTAAGTGAGTAGGTTGTCAAGACTACAAAGCTCAAATACTTTTGCCGCTGTTGGAGTACCTTTCGTTCCGTTTGAAGATTGCCTTGGAGCTGTAATTGTAGATTTGTGTATATAGTTCCTCGGCGCACCACCCCAGCGAGCATGATGAATCCTTGCAAAGCTTTCGTCCGTCATGTGACCAACATCGTTAGAGCAGGACACCATGAGTAAAGACAATTTATCAAACCTACCTAAACCAAGATGTTGTGGCCTTTGTTTTGGTCTCAAGCCAATATTAAACTAAAAGTGTGTTAAACCAAAACAAAGAACATATAAAATTGAGAGAAAAGGCTTGATATATTAGTTTAGTCTATTGTTGCTGTTGTTGTTGGTAAGGCGATGGTCGCACTATTTCGTAAAGTATGCTGCAGGCGTAGCCTCTTGCTCTGATCGTGTCTGCCAATGATCGACGAGTGCTTAATCCGGGCTCACCCAAGACAACCACCATTCGGTTTTAGATAAGACCAATTCTCGAATTCGTTCCAACCTACTTTTCCTTCTACACGAAAAGTCGGGCCAGGCTTTCTCACCAAGGGAGCCTTGGAAGCCCAGCTTTCCTTCATCTATGCGAAATAAAAGTTAGGCCAACGTCAATATTTTAGGGGAGTCTTCGAGATCTAGCAGTGATCAGTACAAGCTTAAATCATGGCCTTAAGCGTTATTGAAAATATGCAAAATTCCGTTCCAGATCGACCAAGACTGGTCGGGTTGCCTGAATATGATGTATCCCTTTAGTCCATCACGGATATCGGATATGTCATGTGGTTTGCTTTTAGGTTACTGTGGCCATGGCTACTTCGCAAAAAAATGGATGGAAGCGAAGCCAAGGGAGGACAATACCTGCATTGCGATTGTTGGCTTGATTGCAGACGTTTTCGGACAACCTACCTCAAATTCCGATGAACCTTTCCTGCATTCGCATGAAGGCATCACAACAACATGAAGCAGATGGGGACCAACTATTTGGTGAGGATGAAGCAAAGCCGGTTTTCGGAGCTTCCTCGGATGTGTTGATGGAGGTTACTTGATTTGGGCGGAAAAGTCGGCCGGAAGGGATTCGTGAACCGACGAATATGAGCTTGCACGCACTTACCGGACTTTGCGCACAATCCGACGCTGCGTGCCTTAAAACTGGGCCCATGATTGGCTGCCGGGGCGGCACACAAACCGTCCTACCGACTGCCCGTCTGTCTGATTCTGGCCTCGTGGGAGACAACCACTCACTCTCCGCCAGCCTCTATCCCGACCTTGAGCCCAATCACAAGACCGACGCTCAGCTGAGAACACACACACACACACACACACACTTACCCGACGCATGCACTTTCATATATATATCCTCTTTTGGTGTCTTTCCATATTGCGTGTGTACGTGTGTATGTGTATGTGTATGTGATTGGATCCGCACAGTGCCTAGCCGTCATGTGATTGGCTGTCGCCATCGGAGTGCAATTGTCAGACCGGCTTGCAGCCAGTGCCGGGGTCCCTGACAGTGCATTGATCCTGCTCGCTCAGCCTGTGGACCTGGTGCAAAGTGGTTTGTGGGGTGTGAACGAGGCTAACGTGTGTGACGCACCAGCTCACAGATCTCGCAGCCGAGTCAAGCCGGATAGCGACAGACCGACAGATAGACAGAGCGAGAGAGCCACGCTGGAGGGGTGGCGTCAGGCGCGGACAGACTGAGAAAGAGGCGACCAAGGCAGAGACAGAGGCAGACGGAGGGCCGGCGAAGAGGACTGTGGAAATAAAAAAGTTTGTTCAACCCTTGGCGCGTGAAAACGGATCGCAAAGTCTCGACTCTGCGACGATGGGAGGTGGTAGCAGTAAGCCCTCGAACGATGCGGTGGCCGGTGGCGAACAGGCGCCGTCGGGCGGGCTGAAGAGCCTCACAAGTTACCTCGTCCCCACCCTCAGCCCCACCGCCAGGCCCGCCGACGATTCGCCTCGCCTCGACTCGACGCCGACGCCGACACCGACACCGACACCGACGCCGACGCCGACGCTGACGCCGACGTTGTCTCCGTCGTCAACGGCCTTGCAGACGCGCCATTCGGAGACGGTGAGTACGGCCGAGGATGTGGCGGCACGTGGGTTTATCGACGACGTGTCGGACGTGTACAATCTTCGAGACGTCGGGGAAAACGATCTGGTGAAAGAGAAGAAAGAAGAGGAGTCAGGCGGACTTGACGACTGGTGCTCTGCCGACGTGGTTGCCAAGTCGGTACACTGGCAGACGGTGGCCAACGAACAGGCCCCACTCGGACCCGCCGACCAGCACACGACGACACCCACCCCCTGTCTGGATTCCGCGGATGCGAGACACGCTGAAAAGGCGGACGAGATCATTACTGACGTCATCCAGACGGCAATCGGCCTCATCTCCGACCCGCCTTCGCCCCCGCCCCCGACGGAGCGGCACTCCTCCATTGTCGTCGTCCGGGTCCGGGAGGACGAGGAGCGGGCCGGACAGGGCGAACAGGAGCCCGAAAGCAGCGACATTGACGAAAGCTAGGAGCCCGGTCACCGGAAAGTACCGAATTTATCCAACATAGCAAGGCAAGTTATCCTCCAACCAAACCTCTGGACGTGTTTGCGTATGCTGGCCTCTGTGTGTGTGTGTGTGTGTGTGTGTGTGTTGACATTTCCCTCGGTCTTTTCTTGGTGAGAGTTGCTTCTTGGAAGAGTTACTTTTGATCCGGCCAACTACATCGACGTGACAGTTGTCCTCATCTTTGCATATAGACCTTTGCATATATCCCTTTGTACACTGCATTAGTGTACATGTTGTCAAATCACTAATAACACAACTCATTGATTACACCCATACGTGAGTGTCTTTCTTGTACTCGACCCCAGGGCAAGGCGAATGGTCGTCACTTCTGCGGGGCTCACTTGCGCACACCGTCAGGCCGGGGCGGGCTGATTGTTGGTACTTTCGATTTCACGACACTCCTCGCCACGTCGGTTGTCGTCGTCCCTCTTCACTCTAGGAGGGAGGGGGGCAGAGCAGGGAGAAACGGGCCGCCTGAAGGGAGGGTGGGGGTGAAGGAGGCAATGTCCTTTAAGTCATCTCCTCTTGACGAGATGGTGGGGATCCGGTTCCCCATTTCAACGCGTGGTCGGCTCGTCAAAGCGCCTGAGTCTGTGGATGTGTTGGACGCAAATCCACGAAATGACTCTTCGTTTGTGAGTAGGCGTTCGAGACTACCAGACGTATTTACCCTATTTTGTTGAAGGTCATGAAGGA